CCCCACTCCTCCCCCAGCCTGGAGCTGAATGGGGTTTCTGTATCCCAAGGGCAGGAACTGCACTGAGCCTCATTGACCCTCATACAGCTGTCCTCAGCCCACTGATCAAGTCGGTCCAAGTCTTTCTCTAGATCTTTCCTACGCTGAGGCAGATCCACATTCACGCCCAACTTAGTGTCCTCTGCAAATGTCCTGAGGTTACACTCAATCCCCACATCCAGATCATCAGTAAAGACATTAAATAGGACTGGTCCCAGAATGACCCATTGGCTTCCTATTCCAAAATTGCATCTGCTCTTTAGATTAGAGATTTTCCAGTTTTCTACGTTGTCTCCCCTCTCAATTCACTCCCTAAGAACCCCACAGGAAGTTGTACACAACAGAATTCTCTCGGATTCTTTCCATATCCATTGCTACTTCCAACCACAAACTGAAGTCTGACTATTCTGCCTTTTTCCCCTTTGCCATTCTGAATTTGCAGTGTTGTGTTCAGTAAAAAGTATCAAGTATTAGAGATGAAGAAATCCACATCGCTGTATTTATCTCTTATTTATTTTGGCTTTCCTGAGGGCAATGAAGCAGTAAAAACACAGAGAACACCCAACACTCAGGTGCAGTTCTTCATGCATGTGCTCATACACCAGTAAATTCACAATTCAAGGTAAATCAGGAGACTAAATCAAGTGAGGTGCAATTTGTCCTATGAATTTGTGTAAAAAGACTCAGATGACACAGCTGGGGCACAGTGTGGCAGGTGGGTACACACCTTTAAAGGGGTTACTTTGACTAATGACTCATTTGGATGGAAGATTACAGGCACAGACACAGGTTTCTGACCTGAGATCCAATTCCAATTCTATTATCAAATAATATGTATCACATAAAAAAGAAAAATCCTTCCATTCTTCCATGTAAAATAGAATTGATATTTAAGTATGTTGAACAGGCCATAAGAAAACAGCATTCCAAATTCTCTCCAGAACACAACAGAGGTACACAAGTACTTTTCATTCCTTCAATCACATAACAAACCCTTTTTCCCACTGAAAGCTGAAACATCTGCTAAAACTGCTGTTTGTTTTTCAGCAAATAAGTGAGAACGATTGTTAAATTCACCATGCTGCAGGTACCTGTGGTGTGCAGGAAAACAGAACTGCAAGTACAGCACAGACTCTGCTAAGTAACTGGAGACACTGTTTGCTTATATCTGATTTTGCCACTCATATTGTGGGATATAATAGACATAGCTCCCACTGGGGGAAAAAACAAATCAATTAGGACATTTACACTGAGGCAAAACAGAATCATGGAATGGCTTGTGCTGGAAGGGACCTTAAAGCTCATCTTGTTCCCCCCCCTGCCAATGGGCAGGGACACCTTCCACTAGCCCAGGTCGCTCCAAGCCCTGTCCAGCCTGGCCTGGAACACTTCCAGGGATGGGGCAGCAACAGCATCTCTAAGCATTAATGAAACTGAATGTGTAAACAACATGGCAATGAAAGGGTAGGTAAATTCAGCTGTGTTCACAGGGCTCATAGGTAGAGAGGACCCTCAATATCACGAAACAAAGTATTTCTTTATGAAGCCCTACAACTATGTAATAATATACACAGACCCGGAGGCAAAAAATCCTGAATGGATTTACCTTGTCTTCAGGATTGTACTGGATGACATATTCTATCTGGCCATTGGGACCATCATCAATGTCAATAGCACCATTGTTTCCAGAAAATCCTGTGAAGATGGTTGTTCCAACTGGAGTTAACTGCAAAAACAGCAACAGACAAGAAAGAATTAAAAAACCATTTGAAGATTTTATTTTTCTTTCATTATTTTATGCAAATGTAAACAGAACTGATTTGACAATGTCTTCATGGCAATGTGAACAGTGCCAGATAAACATTATTACATGCAAACACAGACACCCAGAGAGCTTTCTGGCTTTAAACAAACACAAGAATGATTCTGTTTCTCCAATATTGTGTTGGCAGCAATTGAATACCCATTAAATTATATTTTGAACAAGAATCAATTTATAATTATCCCTGCACAGATAAAGAGCATGAAATCAAGGCCCATTGAGATCAAGGACAGAAGATTTCTTGGGAGTCATCATTTCTGAATTTTAATATTCAGGAAACAACCTGAAAGAGAAAAACAAATGAACAAACAGTTCTGGATTTAACACAGCCATTGCTCCTAGTCATGCTTCTCTCATCACCCCCAGTTTTGTGGCCTTTAAATTCAGAGTCTCACTGGCTCCTCTTCTTTCCTTCACATTTTACGTGAAGTTGCTGCACATATTTAGATGGTCTAAAAAGGTTTGAAATGCTGTAAAAAGAGAATGTGGCAAAGGCCAGAGTCATTCAGACATTTGTGGCAGATGTGGATGGTATCTCACATTCATATTTTCTAGTTCACACCACAAAGCAAACAATTAACTCTCCATTTCCTCCTACAGTCACAGGACCTGTTTTATTTACAAGCTGCTAATCAAGTGTGTCATGGTTGACAGAGTTCTCTGAGAAATGTTTTCAGGGCTGAGAATACTTCACCTTTGAAACAGAAACCACCAAGTTAAAGCTTTTTTATAGTAGAACAGGTGGGGCTTAATTTAGAACACTTACACTACCTACACTTCCACCACAATAACTACTTATGTTTATGTTTCGATATAAACTTCACATAATCAGTTAGGTTGGAAGGGACCACGATGTGTCATCTGGTCCCACCTCCCTGCCCAAGTAGAGCCATCCCAGAGCACATGGCTGAGGATTGTGTTCAGAGGGTTCTTGAATACCTCCAGTGAGGGAGAATCCACAGCCTCTTTGGGCAATCTGTTCAGTGCTCAGTGACTGCACAGGAAAGTTCTTCCTCCTAATTCAGGTAGAACTGTGCCAGAGGAAGTTCAGGTCAGATATCAGGGAAGGTTTCTTCACTGAAAGAATGGAATTTTGTTCCTCCACACAAACCTTTGCTATCTCCTACAGAAGGGGCCTGAGGTTATATAGAAAACCAATCCACACCGAAGTGTCCAATCTTAAGCAAAGCAAAAAACCAGGAATTGTAAAGAAACAATTTTATGAGTGTTAGTGACAGCCTAAGGATAGCCATCTCTGTGGGGAAAAAAGCACCAGGATGACAAGAAACAAGGAAGATCTCGAAAAGAAAGCAATTAAACAAATAGAAGGGAAATGTACACCATCAATCATCTTCTCTCATAGTCTACAGCTGGAATGCTTAAAGACTTCCTTCAATGTGATTTATGCCTGTTAGAAGTCTAGATGCAGACAGACATGTTCAACTCCTCCATAAAACATCTGACAAATAAATTTCCCTATTATTGCCTATTTACAGAGTTAAAAATGACTAATTTTTCACAGTGGCCCCAAATAGCAGAGCCAAGCAAGATGTACAGTTAATCATCCTAAGCTAACATGCTTTTGATGTCTACCTGCAGAGATTAATTATTTCCATACCACAAGAAAAAAGACAGGAATAATTACACCACAAGAACTGAAAATTCAGCACAAGTTAGAATTCTCACCAGCCCAAAGGCAAAGCTTTAAGATAACCGAAGTTCAAGAAACACACTCATTTTGCAAAGGATTGCCGTATCTGCCAACTTAAGGGAGGGGAAAAAGCCCAAAACCAATAAACAAACCAATCCCAAAATGTTGGGTTACAAGAAACTATAAGGTTATTTATGCTTAATAAAGTAATGTTGACTTCAAACAGTTCTAGTAACTCCAAACAATTTCCAAACAGAACCTGCTATTAAATGCTCCTGAGGATCTTGACACCTCTGTAGGACTCAGGTAAGGCTCAAAGGAAAAACTATGACCAAAAATAACACAGTTTTACAAACCTCAGACAATGCAGAATTTTGCTCAGATAAAAAATATCTGAAATTATCTGAATTTCAATTATCATAAGTTAAAAATTAAGCTGAATTTAGCTCAGATAAAAATTATCAGGCTAAAGTGCATTTAACACAAAACACAGACAACCACAACAGTGCCTCAGCAGTACAAGATTTCAATTCCTAACCCCTGTATTAGGCTAGATAAATTCAATCCCCTTGTGGCAACACTATAGATTTGCCTGCAGAATGTTAACTGAGTAGTATAATTCTTCTGAATTTCAACCCAACTACACAAGTCTGTTTTAGTACTTCAATAACTCATATCTTCAAGTCACTAATGTGCCAGGTCAAATTTAGCCCCAGGCTAATGTCACTGTCAAGATTGGGGTTTTTCCCCCTAAATGATACTTTCTTATAAATAAAAATATATAACACAAAAAAACAAGGAAATAACTCTGCAGGTTATTTCTAATTATCATAAAACGGCAACATCAGCCTTAACTTAGTTTTACTTTCATAATAAGATTCATAATGCTGTGGGAGAGGAGATGGAGTTGGCTGAGACATTCTTTGACTTGAAAAAGCATTAGAAATGCAAAAGAAAAGCTAAATGCAAGGGAAACAGCCACTCTGTATTATACTTTGAGAGGGCAAACTTTAAAATCAATTTTATTTGTAACTGAAAATGAATCCCAGGACTGCCATGTCATCAAACAAACATTACAGCCTCCATCAACACTGCAAGTATGAGCATGATCAAGGTGCAGCTCCACATAAATCCATATTTTTAATAGAATAATTAAAATCCTTCATAAAAAAAGTTATTCCCTCAATAAACATGTAATGATAATGTTGGTGCTTTGATGCAAAAGCCACATGTGTGTGCTGGAAGGGAATATAAATTTCTCTCTATGGTTCAAATTTTGGATCACCTCAGCCAGGCTTTTTCACTACATACATGTGTGGAAATGACAGAGGAAAACATTTAAATCCCTAAGGATTGTTGGACAAGGTGCAGAATATTCTACAGACACTATGTATGTCTTGACATTGCTCAAGAGTTTTAGGATCCAGATGAAGGTAACTGAAGCAGCACGGTGAGAAATTTGGTATAAGACAAAACATGATGAAAAAGGCTACAATGCCTGTAAGGAAGGACAGAAGGGACCAACATACACATGTTCACAAGCAAATGGGACAGGGAAAAACTGCTCTGGAGCTGTTGCGTACACAGCCTTTGGTTTGAATTTACAGGTACAAGTGACTGGAGCTTGGGGAATTCATTAGGAAAGCACCACTTCATCTTTCCCAGTCCTTACACACTTCCTTGAGCATCTGCAAGGGCCACTGAAAGAGAATCACAGAATGTTAAGGGGTTGGAATGGAGCTTAGAGATCATCCAGTGCCAACCCCCTACCCTGTGCAGGGACACCTCCCACCAGAACAGGTTGCTCAAGGCTTTACCCAACCTGGGTTTGAACACTGCCAGGGTTGGGGCAGCCACAGCCTCCCTAGGCAACCGGTGCCAGTGTCTCACCAAACTCACAGGAAAAACTTATTCCTAATATCTAACCTAAATTTCCCTCTTTCAATTTCTCCCCATTCCTCCTTGTCCTGTCACTGCAGCTCCTAACACAGAGTCCCTCTGCAGCTTCCCTGGAGCCCCTTCAGCTCCTGGCAGGTTGCTCTGAGGTCTCCACACAACCTTCTCTTCTCCAGGCTGAACAGCCCCAACTTCCTCAGCCTGTCTTCACAGGGGAGATGCTCCAACCCTCTTATCAACTTCATGAAAACACACTGGACAAGGGGAGCTTTTAGTCTAACTCAGTACAGTTATACCAATCAAGTATAAAAAATTATACACTTTTTGGTATAAAACAACACAGACACTACCCTACCCCATCCATCTCATTCTAAGGCTTCTGGAAAAATCCAAGGTTCATTTTAAACCATGTCTTTTCCTGTGCAAATGGGAAAGACACATGTGAAACTAGGATTTATGTTGCTCTTACCATCAGCTTCTCTGACAAACTCATCTTAGTATGCTGTGGACAGTTCAAATATAAAGAAGACTTGACATAAACACCATTTTATTTCTCAGAAATATAATCAAATCTACTTGTTAATTTGTTTTGTTACTTATATAAGCAAAATTTCTGTACTTTTTGGTTTAAAACAACCTGAAAACACAAGACCAGAGGCAAGCAAAAACTAACCACAACCCCCTCATCATCCCAGTGCCTTCCTGTTGCTCAATTCACTAGAGGCAGTGCCAATTACCAGCCAAATAAACTAGCATTAAAAATTTAATCATTCATTAAAACCTTTGAGAAAGGCTGAGATGCTTTGTGAATTCTTTTCTGTTAATTAATTAACAAGAGCATTAACCCACTGGGTGCTGCTCAAGGGCACACTGGTGCCATGTCAGATGCTATATATGTAACAGTGAGAAAATGAAACCAAGAAGCTAATTAAATCAGGATTCATCTGGTGGAAAGAGCAACACTGCATTTTGCCCAGTAATAATGCAAATAAATGTTTGAACATGGCTGAATTTCTGCATATAAATAACTGGTAACAGTGCATTTTTCACTCTGCCTTTTAGACTTCTTTCTAATTAAGGCAAATCCTTGTTTCCTTAGTATTCCAGCAGTGACATGCTACCTGTCTTCAACCTTACTGACAAAATGATGCAGGTTTTGGAGGTGATCTGGGACCTGCATCACAGCCCACACAGGCCCTTCAGACCCATTATTATGTTGCCTTCAGTCAAGACCAGAAACATTCTGCAGGTCTGCAGAAACAGAGAAATTCCATGGCCATGGTAAGGCCAACTTGAAATCCACGTACAAGCCTAAGAGGGCTTTACTGGTGCTCACACAATGGTAATTTATGACCTCCAATTCTGGTGGTAGTTGACATCAGCACAGGGATGGCCAAAAATGTGTCTGAGAGGAAACACTCTAAATTTAAAAGACGCCACCACTCAGGAGACCAGTGTGAAATATCTCTTGATTCTCATCTCAGTTTTTGATGTCTACTCAAATAGAATGTGGGGATTTAGATTATTTTTTCCCTCCATGCTTTTGGGTTAATTAGGCCTAAACTCATTAAGCAACTCTCCCACTTCTTTCCTGGAGTCTACATGTTTGGTCACTGAGAACAGTGTTGTGGTTGTAACACAAAGACATATCAAAACCCGAATCTCCCCAACACAAAAAGCTCTGAATTTCCTTTCTGAAACAGCAACTCAGCTCTACTGAAATCAAACACCATGAAAACAGTCTCACTCCTTCACAGACCCTCACCCCCCAGCCAAATCCCAATGGGGACACAATAACACTGCAGATTTAACAGTTCTATTTCCTTAAAAGCAACTCTACTTCTTTCAGTCTTCACCTGCACTGACCCATCTTTCCATCCTCCACATAATTTCACCCTGGGTATTTCCACTTCTGCATAGAAGTCCCCATTTCTACTTCCTCTTACTAAAGCCCCAAGATGCTAACACTGGAAACACAGATCATTTGTACTGCTTATTGGCAGATTATTCAATCCCTAAGAGAATAAAAAAACTTAACTGTAAAGTGAAATGAAGTTGTACCAGGTCAAGAAGAAAATGCTTTCCTTCTAGTTATACAGAGAAATCCAATCCACATCTCTCTAAGTCCATAAAACATAAAGGAAAATAATTCTATTCAAAGATAGAGCAACAAACCAAACCTGCACTTAGCGAAGCTTCAATATTGTTAATAAAACCTTCTGAACTATTTGCATTGCATTTGCTTTTCATAAATACATATTTTTACTTCCAGGTTGGTTGATCCAACTGCATTGATTTAACACAAATCAACGCTCCATTCGTGAAGACACAGGTTCAGATTCTGAAGTGACACAAATATAAAGGACGTTAAAACAACTGAATTTATCAGGTTTCCAAACGAAAAGGATAAACACTGGAAGTTGTCGTCTAGCAATGACACAACACAAAAGAGAGAAGAGTTGAGTGGTTCTGACCTCGTTCACTGCCACATAGTAGTGCTCCTGCTGGAACTGAGGAGAGTTGTCATTCCGGTCCCTCACCACAATCCTCACCTCGTGGTTGATAACGGTGCCAACTTTTTTGTTAACACACTGCACCTGCACCACGATGGACTGAATGGACATTGGTGGCTGCAAAGGAAAAGACATTTTGATAAAGATACCTAGAAAACAGCACACGGTTGAAGGTTTGGTTTAGTAATACTGGAATTCATAGAATCCCAGAATGGTTTGGGGTGGAAGGGACCTTATCAAGATCGTCTGGTACCAACCCTTGCCATGAGCAGGGGCACCCTTCCACTAGACCAGGTTGCTCCAAGTGCCATCCAACCTGGCCTGGAGCACTTCCAGGGACAGGAGACCCACAATCTCTCTGAGCAACCTGTGCCAGTGTCTCACCACCCTAATATGGAATAATTTCTTCACTGAAATCTGATTTCTTCACCAGTATCTGAAGGGACTACATGGAAACTGCAAAGTGACTCTTGGTTAGGAGCTGCAGTGAGAGGACAAGGAGTGATGGGCATAAATTGAAAGAGGGAAATTAGGATTAGATTTTAGGCAGAGGTTTTTCCTGTGAGGGTGGTGAGACACTGGCACAGGTTGCCCAGGGAGGCTGTGGCTGCCCCAGCCCTGGCAGTGTTCCAAGCCAGTCTGGCTAAAGCCTTGAGCAACCTGTTCTGGTGGGAGGTGTCCCTGCCCAGGGCAGAGGGTTGGGACTGGATGATCTCGAAGCTCCATTCCAACCCCTTAACAATCTATGATTCTATGAATAATGTGAAGCATTTGTGAGTTGATATAGACTGTTAGTAATATTGAAACTCAATCTGCAAATGTTCTTTTGGCAAAGCATCTAGTTACATTCAGCTCAAGCAGCTGAGGTGAACAGCCCTGGAAAGAGAGAAAAGTGCCACTAAAAAGGGAATTGGAAAAAAAAGAAAAAGAATTACTACTGATCTAGCAGGGATTCAGTTTTGGATCCTAATGCCATATGGATGTGTGTGGGCTGATGAAGAATGGACCCTACATTTCTCAGAGTGGTTCTTCAACCTCAACTCCCATTAGAGTCTCATTTCTTGCTCTGACTTCAAATGAAAACTGGAAGGCCAAACATATTCCAGCACCTGCTGTTTGGAGCTGGAGGAAGTACCAACTCTTTGCCAAGGCACTGAGAAGCCTTTTGCCACCATGACCATTCTGCCATGATTTGTGCTCTGCATGTGAAAACAGTTTGTGAATTAAAGCTAAATTAAGAACAGCTGAATTCAATTAGCTCTTTTCAACAGAAAATGGAAATGAGGAAGAATTTGCATGTTGCTTTTGGTACTTAGCAATCTATCTCAAAACACATGGAGAAGACAAATTAATCAATCAAGCCAATACAAAACAAACTTCCATGCTCTCC